TCTTGACCGCAGGCCCGCGGCCGCGACCGCAGTCCGCGGTCGTGCCCGCGGTGACCCCGGCCGCGGGGGATTCATAGCCGAGTCCGCCATCGACAAGAATGAATGGTATTGGTCCAACATTAGGGACAATGTTAAATATATTGTTAAAAATTGTCCCGTCTGTGCGGCCGACAAGGCACCGATTCAGCCACCCAGGTCGATAGTGCCCACCGTAGTCCAACGACCATTTCAGAGGGTTAGCATGTACACGACGGATATTATCGCCCCCCCTGGACTGAATAGTTGTGAATATTCAATTTTCTTGGTGTTTGTCGACCAGTTCTCAAAGTGGATCGAGGCCTACCCATGTCGGACAAGACAAACGGCGGAAATAGTGCGGTATGTCAACCGTTTCCTCGGGATGCATCAGGACACCGAGGAAATCCTTACCGACAACGGAGCTGAATTCAGGGGAGAAGTCATGAGGAACCGGGTAGTACACGAGGTGTCTATTCGTAATACGGCTCCCCATATGTCTCAATCGAACGGCCTCGTGGAGAATGCCAACCGAGTAATTAAAATGGCACTTTGACAGAATACTGCAGCTAAGGACACGAGGCAGTGGCCTGATATTGTAGATCACATCTTAGCTATACACCGAGGGACCCCGCATGCATCTACCGGACTTTCACCTTTCCAACTACGTACCAATAGCCTATCTTGTGTCTCGATACCGAATCTAAATGACGAAACGGCGCCGGACAAACGTCCCACCCGGGCGACGACCAAGGACAAAGCCAAACGCCATCTGGACCTCATGGAACGGGCCCTTCCGAGATTGGCCCGGAAAAGACAGCGTATGACACGGACGCCATGTCCGGAGTTATGAGGCCCGAAATGGGAATGCAGGCCCTCGGCCCCAATTTATATTGGGGACTTCGTGCAGGTGAGGAAATGTGCTCGCTAGGGTAAGCTAGCGCCACGATTCTACGGATGCTTCAGAGTGATCGAGCTCGGTCCTAACGGCGTGAACACGGTGTGGCTTGCTCCTGAGGTGTCCGGCAGCCGGTCGGTTAGGCCTATCGTCCGCCACGTGTCCTATCTCCGCCATCTCTCGACTTCCTCCCCTCCTTCTCTAGCTGGGTCGATTTCAGAGTCTGAGTGGGACAGTGACGAGCCTCATTCTCTTTCTTCTACTCGTTCATCCTCTCCCTCCTCTTCGCTATGAGTTTTTCCACGGAGCAGGTACTCAATGAACGCATGTTGGCGCCAAGTGGGCATATCTCGTCAATTCGGCAAGTGTATCATCCGCGCATTAGCCCGGACGCTCTCCGCTTCACCCAGCTCTTCAGTACGGCGGGAATCTACGCGGCGGCAAAATTTCGATTTGCGATCCCCAACAGCAGGTCACACGTGCTGGCCGTCGGCTCTCGGCAACAGGGACTGCTCACATCTCGGCAGTTGTCATCTTCAGCGGGGATCTTACTCCGCTCGACCCCAGAACGCATACGGCCATTCTTGACTCATTGTGAGATTGGGGAGCGCAATTGTTGAGGGTGTGGAGTCAGATGCTCGCGCAGCGGGGGGAGAACATCGTCAATACTGACAGTATTGACGTAGACGGCATTCGCCTCTCTCGGCACGCACTAGCGGTGCTCATCCCCGAGCTTGTCCCCTTCCCGCGCCCCCAATGAACCGCTCCCGATTCTCTACTTTCAGTCTCCCTTCTGCTTTTCCTCTCTTCTGGCAGTCCGCGCTCCATCCCCGCCTCTCTTTCCGCGCTCCAGATTCTCTACTTTCAGTCTCCCCTCTGCTTAGTGAGGACGTCGAGTTGCCACTCATCCAAGCTTGGAAGACGGACACAGCGGGGGATTTTCTAGGATTCGTCTTCGGATCAGTTGAGCAGGGCCATCGGCGGACGATCGTAAGCGAGTTGTTGATCCTCCAGACCGAGCTGCTAGACGACCTTCCGCTGGATGTCATCTCGCACTCCGACAAGAGTCCAGTACCGCACATCCTCTCGCGCAGCTTGGTACCGTATCTGCAATGGTCAGCATGCCTGGAAGGCGATGATGATAACGCTTGTTACCCATCGCACAGCTACCTGGATCCCTTGACCATTGCGGACGCTCTCTTCAACCCGGTGAGCGGAGGAGAAGAGGAAGAGGAGGAGGAAGAGGAAGAAGACGAGGAAGAGACCTCCGAAGAGGACGAGGATTATAGTGAGCATAGCGAGCATGAGGCGGGGGTGGTGAGCGAAGAAGAAGAAGAAGAAGAGCGGGAGGAGGCCGAAGAAGAAGCGGCCGGAGAAGAGGTAGCGGATGAGGCGGAAGCCCAGGAAGAGGATCTGGAGGCAGAACGGCGCAGGGCGACCATTGCGGAAGGAAAGTGACCATTGGAGTAGTCGGTGGGAATTGATCTGCCTGTTCCAGACGACCCGACTAAAGATCCCGAGCCGCCAGCCAAGGAAGATGAGCACCCTCATGCAGAGACTTCTGGCGCGGCGATGCGCAGGCGATCCCGCTCCCCCTCCCCTCACCCCCGTCCCTCAGTTCGAGCTCGTGGCAATGCGGGACATCGGGTTACATCCCCGTTCCCTATCCCGCCGTCCCCTTGATTACATCACATTCCAACAGATCGATACTCCGCCCTCCTTCCCCTTTAATCCTTTTCCTTCTTCGACCTTCCACCAATTCTACGCCACCCGCCTCGTCGCCGAAGTATACCTGCACCCGACCGCCCAATGTGTCTTTTCTTCCTCGTATATCCACGTCCTTCTGTTCAGCACCATGTGGCGAGGCCAGGACGTCATTGAAGTCTACTGCATCATCGCGGGAACTATCCCTGTGTGTGCAGATCGTGAGCAGTTCTACGCGGCGTTGTTTCGCACCTTCTCAACCCTCTATCCCGATTATCTTGCTTCCCTCCCCGAAGGCGGAAATCGCTTCCCCCGCATCCATCGCATCATCAGGTACCAGGAGCTCCCGAAAACGGTGATGGGGAAGGCGAATTTCTTACCGCCTCTCCCGAGTGATCCTCCCCCGGCTATCCCCGCCATCTTCCGACTCCCCCACCCTTAAGACGAGGACGGCTCGAATGACGTGTCGACAGGATGACTTCCACACTCTTATCCTTGGTCCTTCGGGGAAGAGAAAGTGGCGGTTATGGACCTTGGGACAGTAGGCCCTCGCCTTAGCGAGCGCGGGGGGAACAACTTCGGCTATGGCCTTTTTCTCTTTTCTTTTCTTTTCTTTTGTTTTCAAATAAGGCGTCCGTCTTTTTGGTGCGATAATCGCGCGGGTAATTCTTTCGGAATTTTTGAATTTAGAACGAGCCCATGCGGGCTCTCGAAATTTCTTTTTGTAATTAGGACTTTAATTAGACTAGGAAATTGGGTGCGTCAGAATTTTTGCCCATAACTGCACATCACCTCTTGCCTGCGCGCGCGCTTTGCTGCACAGGGACCTGCGCTCTGCTCCTGTCTCTTATACACATCTAGATGTGTATAAGAGACAGCCTCTTGCCTGCGCGCGCGCTTTGCTGCACAGGGACCTGCGCTCTGCTCCTGTCTCTTATACACATCTAGATGTGTATAAGAGACAGCCTCTTGCCTGCGCGCGCGCTTTGCTGCACAGGGACCTGCGCTCTGCTCCTGCCGCACCTAAATTTTAATCTGAACTGTAATCTCTTCTTGTTCCTTTCCCGCTATGCAGGTGTAACTGTAATCTTCCCCGTTCTTGAAATTCCCTTCCCGCGTCACTGCATGCGCACTCTACATCCTATCTCATTGGCCGGATCGTTGCATGGTTGGATCGAAGCGTGGAGTGAGGCTACGTCCCCCACGCCGCGGCCCAGTCATGCACTCGAAGGCACTTCCTTTCTCCCTTCCTTCTTGTTCCTCTCGCAATCCCGGCTATTGCGCGCTGATGAGCAAGCTATAAATTCTGCAAGCGCGATTAATTTTCTCCCTAATGTACTTGGGAGTTAGCACGGTCGAGAGGATCGGCTAACGTGCAGCAAAGACGGTGAGTAGAGAGAGAGAGAGAGAGAGAGAGAGAGAGAGAGAGAGAGAGAGAGAGAGAGAGAGAGACCAGGGATATGGTGGAGCAGTGTCTTTTCCTCCCTCCCTTCTATATAAATTTTGATTCCAACGTTGGCCAATTTTGTTGCGACACTTTTCGGATTTCCTGTGTGAATCTTCTCAGATCTCTTTGTTGGAATGCATGTATGTATGCATGGTGACGAACGATCTTGCATTCTTTTTCGCAAGTTGTCTTTGCTTTTCCATTTTGTTTTGTTCAGTAGATTAGCGTGGTTTCAACTTCGTCGCTTTTTCGGCATTCGGCATCGCAGCGTATGTATCGATCTACGAGTCTGAGTTCTCTAAGATCTGGTCGGTGCGCTCACTGCGCGGGATTAGCCCAATCACTTGCGTTTGATCTGCGTAAGAGATTACGGGAATTACTGGGAATGTATGTCTGCTCTTCGAATGTTTGATGGCCCTTTCCTCTGATGCATAAAAGTATAACCAGGGAGGGGCTGTTCTGGGAACGGGATTACATGCATAATCGGACCAGTGTGCCAATAGATTGCTCCGCCATTGGGATGCGCAACTTAGGACTTAACTAGTTGGTCAGTGCGTACACGCATGGAAGACAGTAATCCATCAACGGATTTGCCATTTACACACACGCATGTAGAGGCTAATTACGATCCCGCCATGTAGGAATGATGTGTGTGAGTTAGTCCCGTTGATCCGGATATGGCGATCGAAATTCCTTTTTGGATTACCCGACTGCGAAAGCCTGAGAGATCCCGAGTACAGGACATATTGGGAGAGGGAACAGATCCGGCGACAGCAAGTCCGACAGCAATAGATCAGACGGCAACAAAACTTGCGAAACCTTGATCACCCCTCCGAACTGAACACGAGCGACTGTGTAGGGGCAATTTCCAGTTGGCAATCAACTGGGACTCCCGAATTCCTGAGTATCCCGACAGTAAACACCAGCAATACTTTATCACCCCAGACTGGAACTCCACGCCCACTTTCCAAAAATCCTTGGCACACCCCTTTTGCACTTCCAGGCCCACTAACACTCCGAAACAGGAAGTCGCGCTGGGCGTGAGGTTGGGCGTCACACCCCAACTCCGACCAGCATCGTCCCAGCAGCAACCCTTGGTTGTCCTTTGGAATTCCCACCCCAAAGCATCCCTAGAGCTCTCTACAAGTCCTCATGCTCCTGCAATCAGCAGGTTACAGGGCAACACCCCAGCACCAGCCAGCGTTGTTCTGGCATCGAACAACCACAAATCACTGAGTTTAACAACACTGAAACCGCCTAAGATGCATTGCTCAGAGTCCCTAGAGTCCTAAAACATTCTTAAAAACAACCGACCTTTTTTTTTCGAAAGCAATTTAACGGTTAAGGATAGGAAACAAACTTCGAGTTCAATCTATGCAAGAAACAAACAGAAATCCCAGAAGACAAAACTGGCGACCATCCTTCCGACCCCCCATTTTAACAGGCTAACCCAACCCCGGATCTCGCCTTTCTGCCCTCGTAACTTAACTCCTCGAGTCTCAAACTCCCTTATCAGCTAGGGTTACAGGGCAGCACAACCCGCCCCAGCTCCGACTCTCATTGTTATAACGGAATGGAGTGCCTTCCTCCCTCGACAACTCCCCCAGCCTCAGTCTCCAACTGGATCACCAGGCTATACCCCAACATCGGCCAGTCGTCAAAAATTGTTAGTTGCCTGCTATCCACTTCTGTGACAAATGTGGAAGTGTTTTCGATATTTTTCTTCGACAGTCTATACGGCGAGGAAAAAATGTTGAAAACTCAAGTTTTGACATTGGTGTTGTACGCCCAACCTCACGCCCGACGCGACTTCCTGATCGGAGTTGAAGTGGGCCTGGAAGTGTGAAAAAGGGGGTGTGCCAAGGATTTAAGGAAAGTGCAGATGGAGTCCCAGGTCGGAACTGAGATCTCTTGTGCCAAGTTTTAGGGATATGAATGCAAGTGGGTAGGCGTGGGTCGGGGTCCTGTTTTACGCTTCGGGGAGCGGAGCTATCACCTCCGTTGGTCCCGTCGTCTGGATCGGATCCGTATCTGGTATACCGCTGGGACGCTATGGCTATCTCGCTGGCTGATCACCTGCCGACGTCGGACGTCGCAGGTTTCTGAGTCCAAGGTGTTGGCCTTAGCCAAAGGCTGTGCTCCTATCGTTCCTCCCCCGAGCAAGTTCGCCGGATGAAGCCGGATGCTTGGTAATCGTGGTCCTTTAGGCACTCTGCACGGAGGTTGGGGCCAGTAGGGAGCGAGCGCCCTGCCAGGGGGCGATGGTCAGGGAGTGAAAGAGCAAGATGCGGTGATAGGAAGGGAATTCGGTTTCCAAAATAATAATTCCACTTACAAATATGAGCTAGCCTAAGGACACTCGGGGAGGTGGGGGATACGTTCCAATACTCGATCGATATCCCACTCACAAATACGTTCGTTTCCTATGGAGTGTAGAAATTCCGGAGGTTTCGCTGTCGATCTTGCAGACAGACACGCGTGCTCCCAATCAGTGTCGTATCCCCGTTCACCGTTCACAGTCCTGGTGAACGCGGGTCCGTCACCGGTCACGAAAAACGTGACCGGTCATAGTTCACGGAGTTCACGCAGAGCGGAAACTCCGTTTTTTTTTTTTTTGGCTGGTAGGGAGGTATTTTTTCGCATAGGTGTGTGGTCCATGTCAATGCACACCTGCCCAATTTTTTTCTTTTTTTAATCAGATTTTTTTTTTTTTTTTCATTGAAAAACAAATAAAAAAAATCAAAAAAGAAACCGAGTTCGGTTGTGTTTATTATAGCTTCGGTCGGCTGTACCCCCATTCTGAGGGTGTTTAGGGGCCCTACAAAAAACAATAACCGACGGTAACTTACACAGTGCAAGCACCATACAACCACACAAAAAAAAAAGAAGGTCAGGCCTCATTTCCCGCCAGGATGGTTGGCCGTTCGTCAGGCCGTTCCCGTTTCGTTGTGTCATAAAGCACCACACTCAACGGAGGCCATCATTCATTGCATTTCACTGGGTAGGTCGGTCGTGCATGATAGCGAGCGAGAGAGAGAGAGAGAGAGAGAGAGAGAGAGAGAGAGGCGTTGGAG